CCAAAATCAACTGAGACCAAACTATACTGCAAAACTATCATAGAATATGCAGAAAATAAAACTATAGAAACTTTGAAAGGTGCTAACGATGATGAAACAGCAAAGAAACGCTAACGAGGGGGGCAAAAACTGACAGAAAGGAATAAAAACTTAATTGTAAATAAACCAAATGAAAGGACGAAAAGAGCTATAAACTAATTTCGCAGAAAAAACAAATAATAGAAAAAAATGTTACACTTGCATGTTCCACATTAATTATTGATGACTGATACTTAATACAAACACAAGAGACAGTATGGAAAAAGGAAGGACAATGTTTAATACATGTATTATACATTGCATTCTAAGTGTTCCAAGCTAATCAGTTTTGGCCAATTGCAAAAAAACGTTTGTTTCATGCAAAACACTATATTAAGAAATAACATGGGGATGAAGGTATTTCCCTTTAGCAACATGAACAGCAACAATGTCAATGTTTCAGTGCAAAAGTTTGGATATGGACTTTTCAATAAGAATGGGCCACTTACACTAAGAGGTAACAAGACTAATGCTTCCTTTGAACAATGAGTTGGAATCTTGCCGATGCCAAAATTGACAGAGCACATAATTCTGGTCATGTAACCAGCCACGAACTTACTCATTAAGGAAATGGTGCAGGTTGAAAAACCTAATCACTTTTATTTTGTTGAAGCTATGACCCACTAATTGTTTTCTTAAGGCAAAATCATATAACTTTCATTTTCATCTAAACGGTATCACGTGACTTCTTAGTGCAAATGGCCTAGCTATTGGAGGATAATTAGCTTCCAAACAAAAAGCCCTAAAAGATTGTTTAGTTTCTGAGTTCTTATGGACAGCCTGTATCGCATGTCAAGTTAAACCTTAACTCTAAACCTTGAAGGGCTAACTTTATGGGCATGAACAAATACCTCTTCAAAGCATAAAATGTAATAACAATGGCAATTGTCAAGTTAAACCTTAACTCTAAACCTTGAAGGGGTAACTTTATGGGCATGAACAAATACCTCTTCAAAGCATAAAATGTAATAACAATGGCAATTGCCAAGTATTAGTGGCAAAATACCATGAACAATAACTATAACGTTCTACCACCAATGAGATATGCTTGAAATACTTTTTCATATGCTTAAAATGTTACAGTGGCAATTGCCAAGTATCAGTCAATAAATATGTCTCTAAAAAAGTTAGGAAACACTCCTTTCAAAACACAACATCACTTTAAAAGACCTTGGATTAGCTGTTAAGACTAATCACACACAGTTAAACGATTTCCTTCCAGAACTAGCAATGAATGCTTTCAGCGATAAACTGAAAGCTTCTTCGCAGACCCAGTTCTTCGTGGACCCAGTGCCAAAAAGGACAAAATTTTCCAACATTTCAACTTCTGCATTATGCAGGAACTGTTTAAGGTAATTCGCTACAATTCTGTCATTTTCACATATCTCAGCTGGAAACTCAAGCATATCAACCAGCTGAGTTGAAGTTAACCTACTCTTATTGCTTGGCACAAAAAGCTCCTCACACATCTCGGGGGTACTCTCTCATTTTGGCATGAAAGCCAAGTACAGCCAATCCCTCTCCCAGCTGATCCAAGACGATTTTGGGTTGGCTTATGACATCATGAATTATCATCCCTTGGATAACCCTCATTTTGTTGTCATTCTATGAATAGAAAATACAATTTGAAAAATGCTTTTATAGTTCTGTCACAAAGTTTTTCAATAAAAGGAATCAATTAAGATAGGATTAGGCTTACAGTTAATACCACTGCTAGGCCACAATCAGACAAGAAATTTGCACATTCTTCTTGGTCAAGTGTCAACACATCTTTGGCCTGAGCAACCTGTAAGTTAAAGTAAAACTAAAAAGAATTTTGATTTTCAAATTAGAGAAAAATAATAATAGTAACAAAAAGAATAATAATAATAATAAAAATAAAGATAACAACATAGCGAAAAAAACAAAAAGGAAAAAGCTTACCTGTTGTGTAACCTTTCGAAACAGTGAGTGAAAGATACACCGTCCATATAAAGCCCCTGCAGCCTCTGAAGAAAAGCTAAGAGGTTGAAGTGAGATGCTACACTTTATGGCTGCAATTCAATTTAATCTAAGATAGTTCTACCAAGTCATATAGGCTTATGGCCTGAGTTAAAATTCAGTTAATTCCCGTTTATTCAGGGACAAGGAATCCATCGATGTATAGCAAATCCGGCTTGCTTTTACTAAAGGCAACCCTCTTTGTTCGACCATAACAGTATTTGATATGAGTAAAATCCATACTAACCATAAAGGTAAATTTATATTAAAAGGCCTGAAAAGTAGAGGTTGAGTAGTAATAACATCGTAGTAGTAGTAATAACTGTCTAGTTAAGATCTAAGAATGTGTATCAGTACTGAGATGAGTTTTTCAAAACTTGTTACCTTCTCTTGTACTCGGGCTCGTTAAGGCATGGCTCTGGATGATAAAATCCCCCCCGCGAAGTCAATCGCGCCTGGAGAAAAACATTTCAAAATGGCGGCAAAGATGGCGGACATTGTGGCACATCGAAGTTTCGGAAACTCTGTCGCTCTCTTATATTCTGAGGCTTGTTTGTGTTAGAGGTCTGGAATCACTTGGGAAGAATATGTAGGTAAGAAATTTTTTATCACTGCTTCCTTTTTAACGTTGTTTAAAGGTGTTCCTTGTTGTGCGTCCTTCGATTGAATTCAGTGTGAGTTCGATCAGACTAGATCATTCTAGGCTTTATGCGTTTGTTGACCGACAGGAAAGCTACGTATTACTTTCATCGCCGAGCAGGTGTTAATTTAGTTCCACGCTTTTTTTTAATTCAATATGTTTCGGACGAAGCGTGAGAAATTGAAATTGTTTTGTGTTGTTAGAGAATCTTTCTTTTGATCAGCGTATCCTGTGTTAAGGTCCAACTTACAAACGTGGAGAGAAAGGGACATTTGTAAGAAGAAAAGCATTTTGTTAGCTTAAGTTAGAATCATGTTTCGTAAAGGAATTTATGATTTAGTTCTGAAAAAAGAATTCTGGTGAACCATTGCCCTTTTATCAAAAGTCCTAAATATGAAAGTTAACCATGAGAACTAACAATACAGTCATTAGTTTCAAAATCACTTGAGTAGATTTAATTTGCTCGACATTATTCATCATGCACTTGGCAAATGTTACATTTTGAGCTCATTTTGTTCAATGAATCCTTTAGAAGCATAAATAAATTGATGACTTAAAAATTGCTGTACAAAATTAAACATTGCAACATGATTAATCATGTTGTTGCTGTTCTTTTTTAGATTTCTACCACGCTACATTGCCTTCAGTTATGTTCCAGATCTACATACATGTAGGATACTCATATTTATCAGTTGGATTGTTATACTAAAGTTCCTCAAAATGGTATGTATTAAATTTTTTTTTGGTGCTTTTTCATGCTTACAGTACATGTGGAACCCACTGAAGAAAGCTTTTCTTTGGACTTAATGTTGAGGACTGTAAATATTAATTATTTTCAGGGCTTGGAAAAATATTATGCAAATCACAAAATATCAGCATGTATTATACGTTAAAACATTGAATATTTGAAGTGTTTATTTAGGAAGGTGAATGGTGATCTTCCATATTTTCAGTAGCTCAGTGGCAACTTTATTTTTCCTCCATGTTTTTGCTATAACTGGATCTTTTTTCATGTGGTTTTCTGTGGGATTTTTTTTGAAGACTTTCTTGAAGTTGGCTGACCACTTAGTAATTGCTTCATTTATGTCCTTGTATTTCTTTAGAACTTGTACTTGAATGTGTGCCAGGTGATTTAAGAAGTGTTCTTTGTGGTATCTTGAGCTTGAATTTTTTGTTGCATTTTTTTTAAGTTTTTCATATAACATAACATCTTTGGTTGTGCCAAGAATCTCTGAAAGAGCTTTTGCTGTTTTGCTGGATGGTAAAAAATCTTCAGATAATTTTGGTTTCTTAGCCAGTGGTTCACCTGTCTCATTTTGCACTGTTTCACTCAGCTGCTGTGGTTCCAGAATCTGATTATTTTCTAGGTTTTCAGTACTCTCTTCTTCATCAATTAATAGAGTTGTATCTTCAGCTTCTTCTTCACATTCACCATCACTCTCAAATGACTGATCTTGAACTGGCAGATTCTGTTGCATGCATTCTTCTCCATTATGGTTTTCTTCATTGGGAATTCTGGTAGCTGGGATTTTGATTCCGCTTTGAATGCATTCTTCCCAGCAGTGTTGAAGGAAAATTTTCTCCATTCTGATATTGGAGGAGCGAAAATGGTGAAGGGAAGGTCCTTGCTCCCTGAATTCAATTTCCTCAGGACCATCAAAGAACTCAATACAGTCTTCATCCTCAATTTCTCTCCACCAAACTCCTTCTCCCGGTACGAGGAAGTCAGCAATAGACTGAAGGTGAGCCTCCCAGTGCCTAGCATGTGTGTTGATGACATCTTTGGGTAAAACTGTGTTTCCCAGCTTTGGTAGGACTTTGCTGATGTTGCTGATTTCCTTTTCTTGCCTGATGATGCAGGTCACAGCTGTGTTTCCTCCTGAAGTCTTCTCTGCTTGCATATGCAGAACTGCATTGCTCACTAAGCTTTCAACTCGGTTGTTCCAGGTCTTCCTGGTGATGTCAGTCAGCTCCTCAAACAACCTCTCAAACATTTCTGCATTAGTTGAACGGTGTGAAGCAAGACGAAGAAGAAAGGCGGAATGAGATACACATGCATGGAAGTATATGCCAAAGAGCTTTCTGCTTGTTAAGGCTCTAGTTGGGGTCATCACTTTTCGGCACAAAATTGCATGCCTCCAACACAGGTTATGCAACCTTAATATCAACTTTGGTGACCTCTTTCTGTCCTGGGCATAAAAAATTTCCACCATTTCGCACAGGGTGGCCAGCAAAGCTCTCACATCATGGGTTGTTGTCTGGTAAAGGGCTATAGTTAAGTAGATTAGTGTCTTGCGATAATCTACTCCTCGTTTTTCTCTTTGTTAAGTTGGACAGCCAGTATTTCTTTAAGTTTTATCAGTGTATCGATGTCAGAAATGTGATGTGGGATTTCTTCCAGAATGTTTTTAATGTGATTCATGGAGCAGTGAAGAGCTTCAAAACACAGTACCTCATAGGAATGGAGGTTGAGACTTTCCACAGAAACACTCTCATCCCCAAACAACAGTGCTGGAATTCTTGTTGCCCCTCCAAGTTCTTCATTTAAAATTTTTGCAAGTTCTGGTTTCGTTTTGTCTGAATCTCCAAGTCCTCTTGCTTCAATTTCAGCTCGTAGCTCGTTGACCTTGAGATCTTTAAATGGGTTCAGGAGTTGTTTTGCCTCTTTTCCTTTCCTTCCTGCTAACACCAGCTGTTGCCGTTCGGTCAATGTTCTGTACTTTCTTTGGGCCATGTAATCTAGATCGTGGCACATGCTTAAATGCCCATCACAACCTGGGCAACCATAATGCCCTCCATGCTGATTTTCGCATTCAAAGTTTGCTGCAGGGTTGTCTCCATTCATGAATCTCATCTCATCTTCTACTTCAACATCCTCCTCTGTTTTCACTTTTTGGGTTAAATTTACTAAATCATCATGTCTGGCTGGAACAAATTTTATCTGATCTTCAATACTGGAACTGCTCTGCCCCAGCATATACAGATAGGGCCTCTCCACTGTTGCCTGGACATCCACATCTTTTCCATATTGAACTCTAGCTTCTGCATCAGAGAAATGAATTGCTGGGTCATACATCTCTCTCACACAAAAGAGCATGTGACCATAATTTGAAAGGGTTGAATGGTCATGCCAAATCAGCCAATGCCTCTTCCGTTGAAAGCTTTTCAGCCTTTGTTTGATTTCATCATGTGTTCCCCTTATATCCTCACTGATCTTTTCTAGCTCTGCACGAATCTCACTTTCACTGAGCTCTTCATAAAATGCATCATTTTTTATTCGAAGGAGGTCTTTGTTTTTAATCAATGCTTCTTTTCTAATGTCTTGGAAGGGAATTTTCCTTGCTTGCAAGTGGCATTTCTTCTGCTCTATCTCTCCCTGTGCATTTATAGCCAATTTGGTAATCTCTCTTTCTATCACTGGCTCTCCTATGTTGAATTTGCCACTCTCTATTCCCTCATGGATGCTTTGCTTGAGTTGTTTATTTGATTGCATCACAGGCACAGAAATTTCTCCCCCCTTTTGCTTCCTCATAGCTCTGCGTACCCTGAATCCTGGAAAATTAATCAAACCTTACATGAGGCTAGAGAAATGAAAAAAACCCATGAAAGTATTATAGGGTCACATATTCATCATTAACTTGACTTAGACTGTTGTATGCATTCTTATTACTTTAGGCCTTCTTGTTCTACTTCTAAATTCTAAATTTTAACTCTTAAATCTCACTGTTCTTTAATTAATAAATCAAATTTTGTTCAATCCTAATACACAATTTCTTTCACTTATAAATGATATTGCAGAGATGTAACTCTCCACTGTCGGCTTAGTTACAAATTTACCACTTTTTTTACCTGTAAGGCCATCCTCTGAATTGAGATGCACTTCTGATGGGGGCTTAAATCGGGTAATGTCTACTTTGTTTGAGTTTAAAAAGGCTTTGACTAATTGCCCTCCATTGCCAGGTGTCGAATCACTTCCCTTGGTTTTGATGTTGTACATTCTGGCTTTTTCTGACCAGTTTGGAGGACCATCAGGCCATGACTCTACATCTGCAAGTAGCTGGTCCAACTTTCCTTCTATGTTAGCAAGTGAAGCTGTGTGGGATCGTTCCCTGACCTTTGGTGGGGTCGTTTTTGCTCTCTCCTCGGCCTCTTCAAAGGTTTCAAAGGACAGGGCCATTCTTTGGATTTGTCTTGAACTGTAAGACTGACGAAGGCTAAGGTGAACTGCACTGTCATTTTGTGACATTTTGGTCTCTAGTTCTTTTTTTGTTTGCCTTCGCTCATTTCTCTTCATTTTTTTCTTTTCAGCAGGTGAAGGCTTCTTTTGAAGACCTGCTTCAGGGACAAGCACTAGAATGTCACTTAGTGATTTTTGAAAGTTTTCCTGGCATTTTTCATTGTAAGTGGCATATATTGCTTCCCCAATGCTTTTTAATTTCCTTTTTGTGACCTTAGGTTCTCTCTGACATTGTCTCTTGACATTTGTGTTAAGTTCAGTCAGAGGTCCTTTCCTAGCACCTCTGCAAAACTTACTTATAGGGAAGGTAGATTGTAATTGAGAGTTGAATAAAAGGCAGGCCTGGCAGCTGGTCAATGAGTGATCTTTTTTCCCTTCTTTACTAATTACTTTGCCCTCATTCCAGTTCATTGAGGAAAATGCTGTTAGGTATGCTTCTTTTTCGGTTTTACTTCTCCAGTTGTAAAATTTTTCATCAATGGTTCTGTAATGCCGCATGAAGTCTTCCCGTTTTATGTGTAGCCCAGGGTATTCTTGAAAATGTTCATTGAAGATTTTAAATCTATCTTGCAGCAATCTAGCAGCAAACTTTGTATTTCCTTCACCGGGAATCCTTTCAGTTTTGCTTAAACTTTTAGTTTCTCTAAGAAACACTCTTGCCCAAGCACAGTCAATCTTTAAAGACATCTTTGTTGCCTTGGCAGAGGATATGGGATTTGATATTGTGTTCTAATTAAACACAAGTTGGAACTCTCCACGCTGCTACTTGAACTAGCTAACTGCTCGAAATTTAAGACAAATTGCGCGCCAAAAACTAAGGAGCTCATGTAACATGTAATACGAGCCG